TATGCGTGCCGACTTGTGTTCTCGATTGCGGAAAGTGAAGACACCCTACCTTGGATCATCTTTGATTGGGGCCAATGGAGCAATAATTAGACCATCGGCCCAATGTACAGCGCGTGTCTTCATTGATGGTATTCTTCATCACATCACCTTCGCTGTCTTAATTTCATGTGCTCATGAACTAATTTTAGGTTGGGACTTTCTCTCATCAGCATCTGCATTAATTTCTTGCCGTCAACGTGTAGTCGAAATGACCGAGACCGATCACTGCAGCGAACGCGTCGACGAAAAACCATTGCGTTTCTTCACAGCTTCCGAATCCATACTGCTCCCGGGTCAAGAGCAACTCATCACCATCACTTCTCCGAATATTGCCAATGGTGACGTCCTTATCACCCCTTCCAGCAGCTGTCTAGCTCGCGGCGTTGTAGTCCCCTCCAGCCTGGTGCGGTTCAAAGACAGTGCAGCGATAATCATTGGCCTGAACCCTACCCCAGAGCCCGTCCTCCTACCCCAAGGTTCTGCAGTGTCATGTTATGTGGATACCCAACCGGTTTCTTTGGTCTCTCTACGCCTTGACAGCTCAGCCACAACAGGCCCAGTCTGTTACTTCCTCCTCCTTTGCTCCCGGGATAAATCCTGACCTTTCTCCTTCTCAGCGTGAGGCGTTGCTGAATTTGCTCAGGAAACACCAGGCCTCCTTCGACGCCAATGCTTCGGCACTAGGACAGACCACAGTTGCGCATCATCGCATCGACACTGAAGGTCAGACTGTTGTACGCCGTCGCCCCTACCGAGTCTCCTTGGCCGAGCGCAAAATCATTGAGGAGAACGTGACCGATATGCTAAACAGAAGCATCATACGACCCTCTACCAGTTCTTGGTCATCACCCATTGTGTTGGTACAAAAGAAGTATGGATCGGTACGATTTTGTGTTGATTACCGCGCGCTCAACAAGATTACCCGAAAGGATGTATATCCGATGCCCCGTATAGATGATGCACTTGACTCATTGCAAGGCGCCCAATACTTCTCCACCCTTGACCTTCGGTCCGGGTATTGGCAAATACCAATGGACAAAGCAGACAAAGAAAAGACCGCCTTTTCTACGCCGGACGGTCTTTACGAGTTTAACGTAATGCCATTCGGTCTATGTAATGCTCCCGCCACATTTGAAAGGATGATCGACACTGTTCTTCGTGGCCTCAAGTGGAAAACTTGTCTATGCTACCTCGATGATATCGTCGTGTTTTCTTCCACTTTTGATGATCATCTACAACGCCTAGATCAAGTGCTCACATGTCTCTCCAACGCTGGACTTCAACTAAACACAAGGAAGTGCCATTTTGGCAACACAGCTATAAAAGTTCTAGGACATCTCGTTACTAAAGATGGCATCCAGCCTGATCCGGACAAAATTTCCGCAGTCCTCAACTTTCCGCGACCCTTTCGTTCCAAAGAACTACGCAGTTTCCTTGGACTTGCATCGTACTTTCGCCGCTTCATTCGCAACTTTGCCACTATTGCCGCTCCTCTCCACAAGCTCCTTGCTAGTACCGGTTCCTTCGATTGGAATGATCAATGCGAAGCCTCATTTCAAGAACTCAAGCAGGCACTGACATCCCCACCGGTGCTTTGTTATTTCGATGACAAGGCACCTACGATATTACACACTGACGCGAGTGGACAAGGAATCGGCGCCGTACTGCTCCAGCGCGACCATGCCTTTCGCGAGAAAGTTGTCGCGTATGCAAGCCGCACTCTGACCACTGCAGAGAAGAGGTACTCGATAACCGAACAAGAGTGCTTGGCTGTTGTCTGGTCCATCCAAAAATTTCGTCCGTACCTACATGGTCGACATTTTACTGTTGTGACAAACCACCATGCTCTTTGCTGGTTGTCCACAATCAAAAACTTGTCGGGACGACTTGGCCGCTGGATTCTCCGATTACAATCTTATGACTTTGACGTCATCTACAAGACTGGAAGACAACATCAAGATGCCGACGCTTTGTCACGATGCCCTTTGCCGCAGTTTTCGGTGCACGTCACATCCCCTTGTCAAATTGGCTATACGGAAAACACCTCGTCGATATCATCCATTTCTTCCCTACCTTCATCCACCCGTCCGTCAGCACTTGCTACTCACCAGTGAGCCGATTCTTATTGCACTGACATCATTGGTCGGCTTACCGGTGCTTTGTCTTCCCCTAATGCCAGGCTCCGGAAACAACTCCGACTATTCAAATTGGAGGACGATGTGCTATATCGATACATTTTGCACCCGGAAGGCCACCGATGGGTTCCTGTCGTACCACGCGCACTACGCACTGAAGTTCTGCGCGCTTCCCACGACGACCCGACGTCAGGACACTTGGGTTACTACAAAACATACGAGCGCATCCGCAGTCGATTTTTCTGGCCAGGTCTTTCCACGACAGTAGCTAAATATATTGCCTCGTGCGCACTTTGCCAACACCGCAAGCGGCCCACTACTGCTCCAGTCGGGACCCTACAACCACTTCCTTGTCCATCAGAGCCGTTCTCTGTCGTCAGAATTGACCTCTTCGGGCCCCTCCCAACTACATCAGACGGCAAGAGGTGGATCGTCACCGCGGTTGATCACTTGACCCGGTACGCTGAGACGGCCTCAATCGCTTCAGGAAGTGCTTCGGAAGTAGCAACTTTCTTCTTGAATGCTATTTATCTACGTCATGGAGCCCCTCGTGTCCTTTTGAGCGACCGGGGAAAGGCATTTCTTTCAAGCACGCTCAGTGAAGTTCTTCAAGCATCAAAAACAGTTCATAAAACATCTAGCTATCACCCGCAAACCAATGGCTTAACGGAAAGATTTCATCGCACGCTGTGTGACATGCTGTCCATGTATATCCGACCAGACCATCGCAATTGGGATGCCATACTACCCTTTGTCACGTATGCATATAATACGTCAGTTCAACGAACCACAGGCTATTCTCCATTTTTCCTAGTATACGGACGCCAACCGACATCACCACTCGACGTTTCATTCTTTTCTGGCCCCGTCAATTCTTCACCATTCGTTTGCGACCAGTTTCTGTCCCGCGTTGCTCGATGCCGTCGTCTTGCCCGCGTAAACACCGAAGCTAGCCAAGAAGATCGCAAACATCGTTACGATGCCACTCACCGCGTCGTTCTCTACCGCCCTGGCGACAATGTACTTCTGTGGACTCCTGCGCGAACGCCTGGCTTATGCGAAAAGTTTGAGTCACGCTATCTTGGCCCTTACAAAGTTATCGAACAGACCTCACCGGTGAACTACCGTGTCACACCTGTTCATGTCCCCACTGACCAACGCTGCCGCGGGACAGAGATTGTGCACGTTTCGCGTCTCAAGCCCTATTGTATGCGTTCCACAGCGTAATTCGCGGCCAGGCTGGCCGCTTCCGTCGACGGGGGAAATTAGTGTGAGAATTCATTGTACGTCATCTTCCTCATCTATCAATAACCATCATCAGTCTTCGGCCCGTTCCTCTTCATGATCGGTGCCATCTTGCTGTTGCTTCAATAAAGCGTCAGCTGCACCGTTGTATTTCAATATATATATTACACCAACATTAATAACAACTGACAATAAAGCCAAAGAAAGTACAGGGGATGTTATTTGTAGTAATCAATGTAGTAATTAAGGTAGGGATGATGTGTACGATGCTCTACCGATTGTGCTACGATGGTGGTCATTGTCCCATCCACTTTATTCGGCATGTATGTGTCTCTGGAGTAATTGAACCACAATACCATATCACTTGTTTCGAAAAGCAATGTCGATTGTTTAATGTCCAAAGCGACACCAAACAATAACCGAGCGAGGCGTTCACCCACTGGCCCTTTCACTGCTCTACATTTTCGTATATTTAAAAATAAATAAGCAATGCAGTGCGTGATGTAAGTACATTAAATCACTGCACTTAATCTAGCAGAGTGTCCAGAAGCCTTTAAAGCTATATTTTATGAAATTATACATGTCGACATTTAGCACCATGCGCACATATGTGTGAGCACATGTGACGTTTATCCTGCAAAATCTCATTACATATATTCCCTGCCGCACTTGTGATCTGGACTTCCCTATTATTCAATCACAACAAATTACTCATTCACACACGTGCACTTTTCTTTGTCAAGTGTTAAAAATGTTCTCTCCCTTTTTAAGATATTAACAACCTGATCATTGAATGACTCGTAAAACCCCTGCCACACAAGTCCTCAAACAGAAGTGCAAATGATTTGCTACTTTGCTATCCACTTGTGGGACCTAGGTGCCACCTACAGCCTTGCAGAACTGTAACAGCAACACTGTGTGCGGAAGCAGCAACTACATTTTTTTCTAAAGACAAGTCGGCTTATGGGAAGTCTGGCACCTAAAGCTGAGCATGAGCATCTATATCTTGGAAGAGGGGGGTTGAGCAGGACATCTGCTTGACAGGTTGCCAGCCTGATGCACAGCCCTAGCAGCGAAGTGTTCAGGGCCCTGATGTCTGAGCAGAAAACTTGCTCTATGCCAACTTTTGCTACTTTACTAGCACCATCAAACACTTGCCCTAAGGCAAAGGGCACATGGCACTATGCCAATTTTGCAAACAGATTCAGTTCCTGTGTGCTTATCACCTAGCTGTAGTCTTGACTATGCGCTTTCACTGTCAGATGGCTATCGCCGAAGTTAAGTTCTTAACTAAGGAAGTACATGCCATGACAATGAGTACATTTAAAACCGAAAATGGCAAAGCATATTCTGCCGTATAAACTTTTACTTTGCTAAGTGCTTTGCAGTGGCGACTCTCCTGCCAATTATGTGCGATTATTTGCTTGAATGATGTGCGAAAAAGAAATGTTGCATAGAATGTACTTGAACAGGTGCTATTTTTTACAATTCTAGGTGAAAGCATGACCTGAAAGGGCCCACACTTTCAAAGCGTCTATCTGCAGTGTTGTGTGCACGGAAGCGCGGCATTGCAAGGTATACCTTGGCGAACTGGTGTAGCAGAAGCTTGGAGCTGAGCGTGAGCGCGTTGTGTTCCATCTTGAGGACGCGGAGGTCGGCCGCCCGGGCTGCTAGCACCGTGCCCAGCCCCTGGACGTAGCAGCACAGTCCCCTGCGACCCAAGTTGGAGAGGCGCAGTTCGCGCACCCGGCAGTTGGCCAGGAACTGGATGCTGTGCACGTTGCTCAGGCCGCACAAAGTGAGGCGGCGCAAGGGCGCGAGTGCCGCCAGTGGCGCCAGCGACGACTCGCAGCACGTGCGGGGGTCACTGCAGACGGCGCACACGCTGTGCGCTGTCGTCGCGCTGCCTCGGATATCCAGCTCGAGCAGAGAGAAAGCCGCTCGACCCAGGTCTTCGAGGGAGTTCGGCTCGGCCAGGGCGCACGCCGGTAGCGACAGCGCCATCAAGTGACGCGGGCACGAGGAGGCCAGCAGGGCACAGCACGACAGGTCCGGCGTGAAGTGGAATCTGCTCAGGTTGAGTTCGCGCAGAACCGAGCAGGCGGCCAGCAGCGACTTGAGCGGCGCCTCGTACAGGGCTCCGACGCCCGGAGGGAACGTTGGCCGGTTGAGCGGCAGCGGCGACAGCAGCGTCAAGGCTTCTAGCGACGACCACCGGTCGGCCCGGGCCACCGCGGCCGCCGACAGCTGACCAGGCTCGTCGACGGTGACGCACATCCGAGGCATCGCGTCGGCGACCCTGTCACCCACCGGCGCGAGTAGCTCGGAGAGGTGGACGCAGCTGCGCGACTTGCGCGGTCGCACGCGCAGCGCGACGTTGTTGCACAGCGTAGCGTAGCCTCGGAAAGCCTGCACCAGCGGTTCGTCGTCGCCCAGCAGTAGGTGCCACAGTTCGCGCGACTCGATGAACGCCGAGCGCGACGCGTACGGGCAACGGCCTCTCACCGCGTCCGTTGTGTACGTGAAGCGCTCGAGCTCGGCCAGAGGCCGGTCGCCGTAGGCCGTCGGGGCGCCCGGAGAGCAGCCCTCGCAGCTGCTGACGCCGAGAACGTGCACGTGCAGGTCGCGCAGATGGGGACACCGCGGCAGAAACCGACTGAGCGCATGCACGTGGACGGCGCTCTCGACCAGTTCGACGTACATATAACGAACGGCGGTCGTGCGGCGGCTGTACTTACCGCCGTCGAGCACGTTCAGGGCGGGCCCCATCTCGTTTCCGCCATCGCGACAACCCAGCAGCGACCAGTGGAGGGTATCCAGCTTCGGCAGTCTGGTCAGCACGAGTTGAAACAGGGCGCGACTGCTGAGGCGACAGTTGACGCACCGCAGAGTGGTGAGGTTGATGCATCGTGCCAGACCTTGTTCGACGACGTTCGAGGACGGCAGGACACAGTTGGTGAGGTCCAGGGTAGAAATGGCCGCAGCGCGAGGTGCCCGCAGGAAGCGGCTCAGCGTGTCCTCCGAAAGAGTCAGGGCCGAGAAGCGGACGGTGCCGACGACCGAGCGGTTGCACGTGAGGTCGACCAAACGGGGCCACGCTTCTACGGCGGCAAGCATGCTTTCTGGGTCCATGTAGCTCAGTATTCGCACCCAAAGCTCGTTCGGCAGCAAGTCCACCGTCATGTTGGTCTCTTCCATTTTACCAGCGCTGTCCCTCTCGAACTGAGACACTCAGCCGTATGTCAGTGGACGCATTCTGCGCGCCGCACAATGTCAAGTCACTGGCAGTAATAATATTTCACTGTAGCGAGCGTGCCACCTTGCTTGACATACGTTCAACACACGGACAGAGGATGATCATGTGCAGGAAGAGAGCCTAATCACAATGAAACTAATTAAACAATTGAGCGATGCGGCTTGGATTGCCTCGGCGTGGCGCGTATAATCAAAAGCGAAACTAGAAACTCCTGCGAGCTTTCTGCTATTTGTGGCATAAGTTAGTACACTTGACGACTACTAACATCTCTGCATTTTCACCACGAGTTTCACAAGGCAAGACCGCAGTTCGATAAATTTTATAAGATGCGTTTAAGTTCTTTCACACACCAACTGTAAAATTTTTGCGTGGTTTTGAGAGATTGCAGCTACTTGTTCAAGCAAAGAACACCACTGCACAAGAAAGAGAGAGATAGAATAAAAAAAAAACTTTATTTCCGACCAGGCGTGCGTTATTTTCGCTCAGAGGTGGGTGACTTCCTCAATCCAGATAGCCATGGCTAGCCGCCGACAACCAAGCCCTTTCAAGTCTCCACTAGCCGAAGTACAGTGGCTAGAATACTACAGGTTTTCCCGCTCAATTTAATCCAAGCGCCAGCCAAATTAATCTAGGCGCCAGTCACTTTAATCCAGCCGCCACTGAAATTAATCCAGGTGCCATTCATTTTAATCGAAGTGCCACTGAAATTAATCCAACCGCCAGCCGATTTAATCCGGACGCCAGCGAATTTAATCCTGATGACATTGTGACTTCAAAACGACCCAGAATTTTCGGGAATGCGTGGAGTGAATAGCTTTGGAGTGAATTTAAAAGAGAAAAACCATGAATGAGTCACTCGTGACACAATGTGACTCGCGCGACATTATCTCGCCTATCACCCGAGTAAGCACTATTCACACCTTCGACATGCATATCAAAGGAAAAGCCGTCCACACAGTAATAACTTGATAATTATTAACCAGGCATATGATCTCATCACGAGGGACTTAGGTGACGTCCTCACGCATATCACCCACGCACGCACTGTCTTAACCTTCCGTCATGCATATCAAATGAAACGTCTTTGAAAGGGCGGGATCTTGATACCTAAAACTCGGCCAAGTCACCTGATAACCAGTTCCTCAGGGGACGTCATCACAAATATCACCCGCACACGTAATTTACTCGCCTACCGACGTGCATACCAAACGAAACGTCTTTGAGAGAGCGATAACGTGGTACCTATGACTCGGCCAACTGACTTAATCACTTGTGATTTAGGTGATATTATCACGCCTATCACCCACGCACGCAATGTCTAACCTGCCATCATGTATACCAAACGAAACGTCTTCGACAGGCTAATAAATTGAACGCTGTCAATCGGCAGAGTGACGTGATCACTAGTGACTCGTGTGACGTCATCGCGTTTGACACCCACGCACGCAGCGTCTAACCTGAGTTCATACATATCAAATGAAACGTGTTTGAGAGAGTAATAACTTGAACACTGTCACAAGGCCCAGTGACGTCATTACTAGTGACTGGCGTGACGTCATCTCGCCTAAGACTCACGCAAGCACTCTATAATGTGCCTTCATGCATATCAAACAAAACGTCTTTGAAAGGGTAATAACTTGAATGCTGGCACTATGCCGCGTGACGTCATCACTAGTGACTCACGTGACGTCATTACGCCTATCACACGCACACGCAGTGTCCAAACCTCTCTTCATGCATATCAAACGAAATGTCTTTCAGAGAGTAATAACTTGAACGCTGTCACAAGGCCCAGTGACGTCATCACTAGTGACTGGCGTGACGTCACCATGCCTATCAGACACGCACGTGGTGTCCTAACTTGTCTTCATGCATATCAAACGAAATGTCTTTGAGAGAGTAATAACTTGAACGCTGTCACAAGGCCCAGTGACGTCATTACTAGTGACTGGCGTGACGTCATCACGCCTGACACCCACGCACGCGGTGTCGTAACCTGTCTTCATGCATATCAAACGAAATGTCTTTGAGAGAGTAATAACTTCAACGCTGTCACAAGGCCCAGTGACGTCATCACTAGTGACTGGCGTGACGTCATCATGCCTGACACCCACGCAAGCACTCTGTTACCTGCCTTCATGTATATCAAACGAAACGTCTTAGAGAGAGTAATAACTTGAACGCTGTCAAAAGGCCCAGTTACGTTATCACTAGTGACTGGCGTGACGTCATCATGCCAGACACCCACGCAAGCACTCTGTAACCTGCCTTCATGTATATCAAACGAAACGTCTTAGAGAGAGTAATAACTTGAATGCTCTCACTAGGCCTAGCGACGTGAATACTAGTGACTCATGTGACGTCATCACGTCTATCACACACGCACGCGCTGTCCTAACCTGTTTTCATGCATATTGAACGAAACGTCTATGAGAGAGCAATAATGTTATACTTATGACTCGGCCAACCGACTTGATCACTATTGACTCACGTGACGTCATCACGACTAACAGTCATGCAGTTCAGTAGGGTTGAGAGCTGGGCTAGTTGGCGAGACATCATTTAACCATATGGTGTAGTAGCGCAAATTCACGGGGACAAAAAGGACAAGAAAACACGACACTCGCTACACTCGCAACTAATTTTTATTTCAGAAGCAGCACTTCATATATAACCCAAAACCCTAGCGACACAGAAAAGAACTACGAACACTGAATCGTCGCCAAACATAAGCTTTTGCGCAGACTCAAGCGATAGTACACGGCAGTTACGCTTAGACACTTTAAGATGACATAACTAAAACAGCGCTGGGTAACATCAAATAAAAAAAAAACCAAAAAATTTGCGGGAATTCACACGTGTTTGAAACAAAATTTTTGAAACGAAAAAAAGGAGTGTGACACATGCAAACACTGATCTCAATTAAGTCCTTCGAGGTAGCTGGCTTCTCGGTTACTTAACGAAACCGATGACTGACTAATGCATCCATCTTTTCTTTTTTTAATGTGAAAGGCTTCGACAATTTCTCTGGTTAGTTGGTTTCTCTGGTTAGCTGGTTAGTTGGTTAGGTGGTTATCAGTCGTGTATTGCTTGCCGCTAACGTGTGGAAAGGTATACATCGGCCAGACGGGTCGTTGTTAGAACACCCGACCTTTAGAACACGAGCGATCATTAGGAACTGGCATTCATTCTCACATAAAGAGACACTGTTCCCAGTGTGGCTGCTCACCACTGTACAGTGACACAACCGTAGTCTTCCGTCATGGAAACCAACTAACCAGAGAAATTGTCGAAGCCTTTCACATTAAAAAAAGAAAAGATGGACGCATTAGTCAGTCATCGGTTTCGTTAAGTAACCGAGAAGCCAGCTACCTCGCAGGACTTAATTGAGATCAGTGTTTGCATGTGTCATACTCTCCTTTTTGTCGTTTCAAAAATTTTGGTTCAAACACGTGTGAATTCCCACAAATTTTTTGTTTTTTTTTTTATTTGATGTTACCCAGGGCTGTTTTAGTTATGTCATCTTAAAGTGTCTAAGCGTAACTGCCGTGTACGATGGCTTGAGTCTGCGCAAAAGCTTCTGTTGGCGATGATTCAGTGTTCGTAGTTCTTTTTTGTGTGTCGCTAGGGTTTTGGGTTATATATGAAGTGCTGCTTCTGAAATAAAAATTAGTAGCGAGTGTAGCGAGTGTCGTGTTTTCTTGTTCCTTTTGTCCCCGTGAATTTGCGCTACTACACCGTACGTAGTACTACACCGTACTACACCGTACTACACGTGCGGTTCTTTTGGTTTACGAAGGAAGACGCTATCACTTTCTGTTAAGCGCAACGCAGGCCGCGTTTATCTTTTATGCCACTCTGGAACGCGTTACAACGCGTGTATAAAAAACTGACACGTGCGGTTCTTTTCGTTTGCGAAGGAAGACGCTATCACTTTCTGTTAAGCGCAACGCAGGCCGCGTTTATCTTGTATGCCACTTTGGAACGCGTTACGACGCGTGTATAAAAAGCCGGCGCAGTGCGCCACTGGGGGTCTTTTTTTTTTTCCGTCGGCCGACGACTGTTCACGCCGCTGTTGCTGTGAGTTGTGTTTGGCCCTGTTTTGCTGGGCACAAGTTCGCCCAATAAACAGTTCGCCTGACACCGCCCTGACTCCTGCGTGCTTCCTCTCAAGTGCTGCGTGTATCACAACCTCGTGACATCTGGTGGAGGTGCTTCTCTGTCCATGTACCGTACGCCCCCGTCCAGCCGTGAGCCAAGCCCAAGCCGCCAAGAGGACGACGCCGACCCGGTCGTTCGAGTGAGCCGAAGACAACAAGGACTACCGCCCGAATACCTGCCGCTCCCCGACAAGGACAAGAAAACAAAGGCTGCTACGAAGCCGGCATCCACGATGACGGAAGCAAGGTCTTCGGCAACCGTGGTCGTCAACCAGCCCAAAGAGCCGCCTACCTTCCGCGGATCGACCTACGAAGACCCGGAAAGCTGGCTTGACATTTACGACCGCGTCGCAACCCTCAATAAGTGGGACCCGGACGACAAGCTGCGTCATGTGTATTTTTACCTGGAAGACGCCGCAAGGACTTGGTTCGAGAACCGCGAGTCAACGCTTCGAACCTGGGACGACTTCCGCGTTGCTTTCCTGCGCACCTTTGCAAGCGTCGTGCGGAAGGAAAGAGCCGCATCACTGCTTGAAACTCGGGTGCAGCTCCCCAACGAAAACGTAACGATCTTCACGGAGGAGATGACGCGACTTTTCCGCCACGCCGACGCCGACATGTCTGAGGACAAGAAGGTTCGCCTGCTTATGCGAGGAGTGAAGCAGGAGCTCTTCGCCGGACTGATCAGAACCCCGCCAAAGACGGTACAAGAGTTCCTCTCCGAGGCTACCACCATCGAGAAGACTCTTGAAATGCGGACCAGCCAATACGATCGGCGCATGTCGCCAGACGTCGCAGAAGTCCGAGGACTCTGCCCCGACGACCTGCGCGAGACCATACGCGCTATTGCTCGTGAAGAACTGCGCCGCATGTTGCCATCGTCTCAGCCCCAAGTCGCCTCTCTCGAAGACGTAGTGCGCGAGGAACTACAGCGCTCACTGAGCGTTCCTGAACGGCCACAGCCCCAACCGGAGGCGATGACCTACGCCGCTACTGCACGACGACCTGTC